GATACGTTCTCACGTTTGGCAGACTTGGAGAATATCTTGGGGTGCCATTCCAGTGCAACGACAGTGACTCTTCCCTCCATCACGCCTGATTCAATGAGGTGCTCCATCAGCTCGTATCTTGAGGAGAAATAGTCGGCTCGGAATAGAGAGTGTTTCTTGGCCCCACTCAGATCCTTCAATGTCGACCTTTAATAGAACCTCTTCCATCTGCCCCACAGGGACCACCCGCCTCAACCAGCCGGAAAAATCAACCACACAGCCGTCTTCACGCCAAGAACCCTTCTTCCCTGAAGGAGCCACGGCAATAGTTGAACTGAAGAGGATCTTCATCGTACCTTTAGCCGCTTGCTCCTCCTTACGATTGTACAGACTAGTACCGACTGAGTCGTAGTGGACCTCAATGCCATGCTTGGTTTTCGGCTTCGAAATTGCTGCATCCTTGAAGTACCTTTTGAATAACATTACACAACCGGCTCGGTTCGACTGCAATCGACAAGCTCTACTGACCACGACCGAGGAGCTCCCAAATACAGTAGGTCAGCTAGTGAATTCTTCACGGTTGAGCAAACTTTGTCGATGCAAACGTCTCATGGGATGTTTGATAATATCCATCCGTCGAGTAAATCATGGCTTATCGTGATCGGCTCGGAAGTCATCGCTAGCCCGTCCATGTTCCGTGACATCAACGGCCGGATGAAGCACAACGAATCGATTACCCAATCTGGCCTGTTTTGGTCCAAGCGCCTGCCATTATCGGTATGCAAATGGCGATCTTCTGGTTCTCTTCACAACGGGACTTCAACTTGGTCTCCCATTGGGGGTTCAGCTCGAAAAAGTACACCTCCCACTCCAAAGGGTCGAATTCCTAATGATCAGATGAAGTCCAGGGGACTGGAGCAGCTATCACTTATTTCTAGCAGTGCGAATAAATTATGTATGACATTTTCAGCTATCATGCAATCGAACGTAGTTACTATCGATTACTCTCCGAAATCACAGAAGCCTCCGTACCTTTCCTTCTCGCTCCTTCCACTTGACCAAGAAGTCCAACGATTGACCATCATTAGCGCCAAGATCGATGAAAATACGTCGCTTTCTCGTTGCGATGTCAGACTCAGCTGACGGACCTTGTTGTGCTTTCTCTGTACATGACTTCTCATCCCCTCCAATGGCGTTGTTTGTCAACGAGATGACCCCGACGGGCTTGGAGAGGTTGTACCAAATGTAGAAGATCGACAGAGCGAGAAGAGCCACCGGCAACAGCGGAGGTAATCTCCATCTACTTGGCGATAATGACATCACAACACTGCGCTGTCGCTATGAATCCTGAATTACCGATAATCCTCTCATTACCAGAGTTCTTTGTATAATAAATTTTTTCAAGAACTAATTGTTCAGTAAGCAACTCCCATTCATCATCGACTGACAGAAGTACTAACGATGTTTTGAAGACCGATTTCCAACCTGCACTACTCAGCAATATCCTCCTAACGAATGCGATATACCTGTGCGGCGGCACAAGCATATCGCATTTGGAGTTGTGCATACATTAAAACGGCGCGATCGGCTACTCTGGTTGATACAGTGGTAGTGTGCGACAGGTGATATCTGGATATCCGTGATAGCACTCAGTGGTCTAATGATGAACCGTTCACCAACCACTCGGACCAAGTTCATTATAATACTGTGAGGAAATGTTGTACACAAGTGTCCCCTGTAATTTTAGATTCCTGTGATACTTGTCTCCCTTGCTAGCCTAGCGTATACTCTATGACTACTGTAATGACCGTAAGTTAAGAACCACTTGGTAATAACTCTTGTTGAGTTATCTAATCCTAACACATACTGATGATACTGTTTTGTCGCATAAAATTGACGAACTCAAGTTTCAATCAGATGATACTATCGAAAAAATAATCACAAAAAGTCAAGAAACGTCATGCGTCTGTTTTAGGCGGCTTTTCCGCTGACTTGATCATCTCGTCAAGTTTCCCCGACTGATACAGTTGCACCAATTGAGACATTCCCCCGATGCTATTCCCTTCGAAGAAAATACGAGGAACTGAAGAAAAAGGCATATGAAACCTAGCAGGTTGTCTCACGAGTGAATCATAGAGCGCGAGAGTCGGAAATTTAAAACTCCATGAAGATTGTTGATCTCCACGTAATGATCAGTCCTCAACATTACACTGCTTCCAACTAGCTCGAAGGTAGCAACTTTCTAGACTATATGTGAAAGTTAATACCGGAGAGGTTGATCCTGATTCATCAGAACGCCATGCATCCTTATGATAAAAACTGTGCTTGTTGCATGCCTACATATGTAATGAAGTAGAACATGCAATACTATAGATGCAGTGGAGAGAGAACAAGAGTAAATTGTCGAGAATCAACGAAGACTATAATATATACCGAATCGTAATCCGAGAAGAACACACATATTCCAACCGTTGTCCCACCTGTTCTTGC